TATTTGCTTACATCAACTGAATCTGGCATAAAGGTAGGCAGGTGGGAGATTTATTTTGAGACAGAGAGAGAGAGAGAATTTTTCATCTCTGCTCATGCAAAGTGGTTGTTCTTGCTTCCAGGGTTTTTATGAAGTAGTCAAATGACTCGTTTGCAGTGGGGAAGCTGTTTGCAAAGTGCTGTCAGTGACATCCCTTTCTTGCTCTCTCTCTTGAGGAGTGAGGCTCATGCTGAGAAGTGGCTGCATTTTACATAGAACTTAGGCCTCGATTGGCTGGGTGAATTTTGCTGGTGTTTTTATGTAGAAGAAAAATACTCAAAGGTGGAAAACAAAGCTGTGCTGCTCTGGAATTAACTGTCAGGGTATGGTTTTAATTCAGGAAGCTTGACACCCATGGGGTTCTTTGTGTTAGTGCATGCTTTTCTGTCTCCTGCTCAACGGAGAGCTAAAGATAAGGATCTTCTATTTTTTGCAAGGAAAAGAGCATGGTAAGAGTTTGATGAACAGACACTTTTATTATAAAACTCTTCTGTCTCATTGAAACGGTAGATTGCAAGCTATTACATGACACTGAATAGTTTTCCTTTCAGTATTATCACACAGTGACTTAAATGTGATGAGGCATTAGAAAAGATTGAATTATTTTAATTTTACCTTTTCACTGGATTCTGAAGCTATTGTGTTTTATTTTGAAGTAAATTATCCTATTTATCTTGTCTGCATAAATACTTGTATGAATAATGCAAGAAGCTGGGATAGTAAAAGTAAAAATTACAGCCCTGTCCTTAAAGGACAGGATTAACATCCTGCAAAAGCTTATTCAAAACCAACTGGTGCCTTTATTCTATAATACAAAACTGTGCCATTTCTGAACTTCTGCAAAACCATTGTAATGGAGTGTTGCCAGATCCATTAACAATTCTGCACTAATGACAGTTAAATAACTGAGTGGAGTAGAAGCAGGCAGTGGAACAGTCTGTACAGGCTCTCCTTTTACATGGGCACTGGAAGAAGGCTGGAATGGAAAAACTGCAAAAAATAGTTCCATGGAGGTAAGAGCAGCACTGAAATGCAGCTAGACATGAAAAAGAAAGGTGAAAATACACCTCATGTAAAGGTAGTACAGATATTTAGCCAAGGACTACAGAAGCAAATGAAGGCTATGAGAAATTTTCAGTTCCCAAGGAAATGCCAAATTTGCTGTTTCTCACCAGCAGGGCGGTTTAGACCGTCTGACTGTTAACACAGGCACACACAAAGCCCATGCAAATTTTTCACTGCCTTTTGTGAGCATGGCTTAGCTGTGTGGAACGACCAGGTAAAGATGTCATTGTAAAAACTCAGGCTTCTCCATCCATGGTGGGATGCTGTGAGCAGACAGAGCCTGGAGCCCTGAGCTCACTCTGCTGCCAGGAGCACTGAGGACAAGCAAGACCTAAAGCATGGGAACACAGCCAAAAAATATCCACACCTCCCTTCCTCTGGCTTATGTTGTTACAGAATTTCTGAACAGGTTTTCCTGTGCTGCTTTGATAGAATTATTCTAATTTTTGTTCTATTTTCACTCTCAGATCAGAGGTATGCACTTCATTTCAGATTAACATAATTTTATTGAGAAATTACATATGGCTTATTTTGGTAAACATCTGCACACAGAGAGCACACACACAGAAATAGTATATATAGAGCTCAAATTCTGTTCTAAAACTTGGACAGAAATATATGAATCCTGAGGCAAGGATGCAAATATAGTGCTATGATCTAAAGATTCTAATTCCCTGAACTGGTCATTATGTATAACAACACCTTCCTATGCAGAAAATGTACTCAAAAAGTTGTTTTCAAAAGCCATGGTATGTCCAGGTGAAAATGATCTATTAGGTGAACTAAGTAACGTCACGGTATGTGACACATCATTTTATAAAGCTACTAATAGTAGCAGTTCTCTCTTGGTGTTAAGAGCATCTTAAATAATTCAGAATTTCTCCAGCAAATCCATAATGTTTTCCTATACCTGCAGAGATATGTTTATACATCTGCTAGAAATAATGCACAAGACCACAGGAGAAGCTTACAGACCTAATCATAATTTCTTCCCTTTGGCTCTTTATGTACATGATTTTAAGCATGGGAATAAGGAATGGCAATGTCTTTGAGAAATGGAGAAGCCTCTAGTGGTTTTCCCTCTTCCTTCCACTCTTTGTGCACCTTGTATTAGGTGGTATTGCTACATGTTGCCAAAGGAATAATAACTTGCTTCAGAAGCAGTGGAAGGGTGGCTGGAAGGTGGCTTCCCCATTTCCCTCCCTGCACCATCTGCCCAGCCTGTCCTCAGCAAGCCCATACATGCAGAAGGCTGGGCTGAGGAGCAAGGAGGAAAGCTGAGTTTAACCCAAAGAGTAGTGAAGTAGGACACCTGCCATAAGTATGAAATGGCTCTGGGAAAGGAGATGCAGAGGCAGGGAGCAGAGCTTGAGGGATATATATTTATTTATTTATTTTATTTATTTATTTTTTACTAGTTGCTTCTGCATCAGTGGTGTCTTTTCTGGCAGATTTTCCCAAAGCAATCCTCTCAGTACCTTCCTTTCCTTTGCCCTCTCTGCCTGGCATGGGTAGGACACTGCTGGTGTGACTCCACTGGCTTAAGCAGATCAAGGAAGAACCTGTGCAACTGAAAGTGAGTTCCTATTTCTCAGCTCTGCTGGTTTAGGAAGTTGGATTGTGTCTTCCTAAATATCAGTGGACAAAAGCTATAGACAGGTGTGGTACTGCCACAACACAGTCAACTAGTCTTGAAGTAGTCCTACGTATAATTTTACTTTTCTGACATAATCTGGAGGTGCTCCTGCACTGCCACTCTTCTTCTTCCATTAAGTAAACTGCTGCTTAGTTTTGGAATCCTGGCAGACAGGCTTTCTGAAAAGTAATCTACCAGTCAGTCAATGTCCTACACTGTGAGCTTAAATCAAACACACTTTCAAAAGGGCTCAAGTTTAGAAATTAACTTTAGGAAAACTCTATTTATTTTGTAAATTAAAAATGTAAAATTGAATGGATAGAGGTCCAGCACAGGACTGACCTGAGGAAGCAATCTTTAAACAGGAACATTCTTTCATTCAACACTGGGAAAGAGAAGAAAGCAAGTAGAAAGATTCATTTGCAATTGACCTGTAATAGCAAAGTCATTCACTTTCCAAATAGGATTAAACTTGTTCCATCAGCCATGACATGTGAAAAGATCATTGGTTATAAATTCCACTTGCTGTAATGAATTAGAAGTGTCTGAGTTTGCAAGCAGCACTCATCATTGATGGACAGCTAGATTTGTGCAGTGTTTTAACACTAAAATTAGCTTCTGCAAAATAAAAAGTACAGAAAAGGTGGCAGGAGTGACAGATTTTAAAACATAAAAAATTGACTTCATTGTTAGATAGAAGCTGAATAAAGCTAGAAATAAATAGTGGTCATAACCCTGTTATGTAGATAACTTGCTTCATTCTTGAGTGAGAGTGAACACAAAACTGGAAAAAGGCATTAGTTTAGGTTTCTCAGACATATTTCAACAAGATTAAATATTGCTACTGAAAAGAGGAGAAATCAAACTTCTATGGTATGGCTTTTAAGATGTAAGAAAATGGACTTGTACTGGAGGATACTTCATTCAAATCCATTTCATTGTCCATCAACATGACACCACTGGAGTCCATGAAACCGTGCTGGTGTATGTACTTTGTAAATTGAGATGAAAGCTACACTCTGTGGTTACTTAATAACCTTAGCTCAGTCTTGTGTGAGTATCATGAGGCGTTTGTACTTTGATGCTTGCAGAACTAAATGCACTTTCAGAACCTATTTTCCCCAAATTGTGTGTTTGGTGGAGACGATGTTATGCATATTTTAAATGCACCAATTGCCATGAAAAGTATCTCAATGGGTGAAAATGGCTAATATTTGGGAATAGTTAGAGATTCCTTTTAATTGATAAGGTGCCCAGCGGAAACATGTCCAAGATTAAAAAAATCAACCAACAAAACAGCTTGAGCTAAGCAGAGGAATGAAACTATAATAGCTTCTTAAATTGCTGCAAGGTTAACATATAATTAATTTACTAATTTTAATTACAACCCTACAAAATGTGCTGCAAAATGCTCAAAGGGGAGAAGCTGCCAAGTGCCAGCCATGATTAACCAAAGTTACTAGCAATTATGAGGTCTCTATTAACCATGCTAAAGAATTTTAAGAACTCCTTTATGAAAAAAGTACATTTATTGAAACTCAGTAGGGCATTCGTCATGCATTACCTTTCCATTGCTACAAACTTGCTGGCATTTGCCTCACTCTTTTCTAGCTAAATGTTTTATTGCAGCTGAAACACAGACTGCTTATTCTGTCTGTCACACCCTGTTATACATAGAGTGGGTATTTATTTTGATCTTATAAATGAAAGAGATTAACTATTGTTTGCAGAGTGCTCTGAGCACCCCAAGTGCCAGGTAGCTGCGAATTTCACAGCTGAACACCAGAAACACAAATCCTGCAGTAAGTGCTTTTTCTTTCCATGATGTCCTGGGACGTGCAGTTTGTAAAGCAGGAATATTGCAGAAACTGCCTTTCCAGTGGAGAACCTGCTGTGCAATGCTTTATTGATATGCACAAATGTAACTTCTGAGGTAAAACCAAACAAAGAACAAAAATCTCTGCATGCCTTCTTTGCATTTTAAACAAATCATGGTGTAAATTAACATCTTCTGTGTATCAAATCCCATGATGTATTATTGCTCTTTTTTCACTGTTGTTACGTGAGTCATGTTTAAAGTGTGTGTTGTTTGGAACTGTAATAAACCTTGATGCATCTATTAAAGGAAGACTTAAAAAAAAAAAAAAGGGAAAGAAAAAAGAGAAAAAAAAAGATAAAAGCAACAAAACAAAATGAACCTAAACCGTTGGTGTCAAAGGAAATTAATTTCCTGGCTGGCTTGTGTTTTTCTCTGAGGCAGATATTGATGAGTGTGCAGAAGGGATCATTGAGTGTCACAACCATTCACGCTGTGTTAACCTCCCAGGGTGGTACCACTGTGAGTGCAGAAGCGGTTTCCATGACAATGGAAGCTACTCTCTTTCCGGGGAGTCCTGTGTTGGTAAGCAATGATCAGCATAGCCCTTTATTTTTTTTTCCTCCTCCTGCATGGTGCTATAAAGTGACTATTGAGATACTGTCCTGAGCAGTTTCTGTGTTTAAGGCTAAGATGAGAATGCAAGTGAACGTGTCTGTGTTTGTCAGCATCCACAGCCACGCAGCGTGGGTGGTAGTTCAAGGTGTGTCCCATTTTTGAATGGTTATTAGAGGAGGGAGGCAGCCAGAGATCCAAAGTGTGACTTGCAGTGCTTTGCCACTTATCATCATAAGTTGCTATAAAGCCTGAAGTGAAAGTAAGCTTTCTGGGGAGCATAATAGGCCTCAAAAGGGGAAGAGCTGTTTTTCCATTTTCAAACGTCATCAGAGCCATAATGCAGTGGGGTATGACCATGTTGCTTTGCTTTGTTTGTTTTGCATTGCTTGGCATCTTCATAATTTTTCTTTCAGAATTATGGAAATAGCATCAATCATTTCTGCACCATATTTGCAAAATAAGGTTCTAAGAACTTGAACAGAGAGGACTTTCGAAAGGATGCAGAGTTTGTTGGTTGTTTCTAAGGGAGAACAAAAGATGAGACCCTATGAGGATTTAGTGCTGGTTCTTGCAGTCTGGGTGCCCTTGACTGGGTGTAAAACACTGTGTGCCACTGCAGCAAGTAAGCAGTAATAAAACTGTAGTGAAGATAGTAATTGTAGCTTACCTCTGCCTTACAGTTTTTCTACCTATCAGCTTATTCTCAGGAGCTTTCTACATAATTTCTGTAGGACATTTTGTCAGATGAGTTTATTTAGAAAGTATCTCATTTTAGCTTCTTTAGACACACACGTCAACTTCTCATAGTTCCATTTCCTTACTTTAGAATTTCAGTTACTTCATCTCTAGTAAATTCTGTGAATTTTCTATAAAAGTTTTTCTGCTTCTCCTGTGAAAGACTTTTTCTTCTCAACACTGTCAATTGCATTTATCATGTACATAAGTACAAGATTTCAAGTATATAATTAAAGCCAAAGTTAAAATAAGAGTTTAAAAAATATAGAAATTTACTTGTAATTAGTAACAAACATTTATATTCTTTACAAATATTGGCTATTGAAAGTCCTTGGGATGAGATAGCCACATGATTTAAAAATGCAGAGGAATAATTATTACTTTTAAAAGCAAGATTTTATAGATTGTCCAGCCAAATTAGCTTTTTACACAGTGTCCTAAGCTGATGGGGAGCTCAATAAAATCACAGCAGTGAACTTCCTTGGGGTGGCTGTGTAAAAAATGGCAATTTTTACAGCATTTTGTGGCTTAAAAGATAAAACACCAGATGAAATCCATGTATTTCCAAACAGAGTCTCGAATGTTTAGAGTTCTCCCCTGGTTTATTTAAATACTGTAAAAGGAGTGATGGCCAGAGCAATGTTGAAAACACTTGATTTATGAGAAGTCTAAGCAATGTGACAAAACGTTCAAAAACCTCTGAGGAAACTGAGGATATGGGGCACTTGTAGCATCCCTCTCCTGCTGGTGTAGGG